AAAACATGGGCATAGTAACAATATTTTTATACTACATTTATCCATTTATACTAACCTCACTCCTTTGTAACAACTAAGGCAAAAATGTAATTAATTCAGAAAATATTTTCAGGACCCCAACTTGATGTTTCGGGACCCTACTTTGGGTCCCGACCCCAACTTTGGGAAACACTGGTCTAGGTGGGTGCATCTTTAGCACAGATGATGCCTCTCCTCAAGTCAAAGCAGAACTGTACCTGGCCTTGCCCCTGATGCAGCTCCTGACAAGGGTCTAGAACTCATCCAGGGTTTCTGTAAGACTGTCAGTAAAGGTTTTGATATAAAGAAATATCTGTCTGTGAAGTGTCTGTCTATTATCATGCCAATCTATTGTACATGATTTTGGTCTGTGGGGGACACAGAAATAACCGGAACAAACCCACGCAAGTCCAATGAGAACATGCCAACTGAACACTGAAAGACCCGAGGTCTGAACCGGGGATCAAACTCACAACCTTCTTGCTGTGAGGCATCAAAGCTAACCACTGAACCATCGTTCTGGGTTACATTAGCCAGAAGGAGGCTAAGTGCCATGCTAATGTTAGCATAGCTTATAGAAAAGTCTGCATACAACTGAGGTCTGGAAAACAGCGACGGACYAGAGTCTTCCTCACACAGGTAGGTCCACAACCCTCCTCTGGTCTGACCAAGGTCTCTGCTCAGGTCAGATCAGACAGCATCCATCTAGCTGAGCAGCCACATCTGGTTTAGCCATGTTTCTATGATAACCGTACACAAAAACGCTTCTTTAGTCATCAGCAGCAGGTCCAAACGGCCCCTCTTCTTGACAACAGAGCTGGTGTTGATGAGCAGAATAGTTAAAAGCTGTACTCTGATTGTTGGTCTTCACAGTCTTGAAAGTGGACCAGAACAGGACCAGGGTTAGGTCTGGTTCCTGTCTGACTCCACCCCTCATCAGAGCCACAGAGAGCCTGGTGTCCTCGCAGCTCTGTGGCTCTGTTGTCAGAGTAAAGAAACTCAGCAATGTATTTTAATGCTGATTAAGTYATATCCATGAACAAAGTAAACTGAGGCAGTCTGATACAAATAAACAAACTAAACATCAAACTAAAAACCAAAAGCTGCTGCCATTTTAACCATCGCTGCACTGCACTCCTCCTCCCTCAGCTTTAGTTTGATCCTCCTTTGGATCCAGACTGGTCCTTCATGTCACAGGTTTTAGGTCTCATGATAAGAGCAATATTAGAACTAAAACAGATTTGTTAGAAAAAACCAGAAGTAAAATACTTTGATGCCATCTACAAGATGTTTTTACTAATTTTCAAAATAATAAAAAGATAAAACGAAAGAATTACTTAATTTAGGGGCTGTGAATTCAGATTTTAAAATTTTACTTGAACTTTGAACATGAATTAATTTATTTTAAATCTGTGAACTGAGGTTTCTGAAATGTGTCAACATTTCCACGACAGYTGAGAGTAAACTGTTCACGCTGAAGGAGGTTTGGTCAAGGTTCTGATGAATCCAGCAGGTCAGACAGGCCAGTTGTTGGTCGTTCACAGGGCCCTACAAACTAACAGCAACAAAAACAAACGTCTTTAACAGAACAAGTTGAAAAGTTTTCTAAACAAAACTAAATGTCAGTTTTAATCAACCTGAAACCTTTATACAGATTCAGATAATTTTATTTATCCTAGGCTTAAACACACACACAAGTTTGYACAGCTATCCATTTGGGGACATTCCATTGACTTCCATTACATTTCTACAGCCTAACCCTGACCATAACCCTAAGGCTAACCTCACAGGTACCTACCTGACCCTAAAACTAACCTAAACTCAATTCACACCTTGGTC